TTGTTTCCCTAAATTTGTTGTACATAGAATACTAAAAGACTTCTGCCGTTGCGCCATTCTTGTCGTGTTCTCTCTTTGGGGACTCACATAAGACGTCATTGGGCGGCAATATCTCGGCCACCGCGTCCGTTATAACATTACCGACATAGCCTTCAGTACGGCATGAACCCATTTATCAACTATTATAAGCCTCTCTTCCAAATTTGCAAAGTTGAAGGGACAAATATGTAATATGTAGTGAACAGGACCTTAAAAACTCTCTCAAATACCTAGACGAGAATGTCCATCGGGAGTGAGGCTTTATTCTGCTGGTTCGAAAGGACAGGCAAGTGACCAAGTAATCCTATACTGTCTTATGTAAAGTAGCTTTTAAAAAAATAATGACCACAAAAAAACGTAGGCAGAGAGAGATCTTAGCCCCTCGAATGAAGAATTGGTCGATTTCAGTTAGTTGATATTATGTAGCTCGGTGGATCAGCGGTTCTACTGCGTCTTGTAGAAAGCACTTGCTGACTATGGGACTCCCGCGTGTTTCGGGATCCGCTTTGCCGTAGGTTTCAATTGTTCCAATTGCGGCCTATGTTAAGTGTCTGACGGGCTAACTCCTACTCTGATCGTTTTTCATATTTTCCCAGAACCATGGATGGGTTGGATGATTGGGCATTTAGTTTCATTTCTCCGATGCATGACTTGCAACTGTATATACATCAAAGTAGACTCGCCATACACTAAATGTGCCTGGCAACGGCTTTCGGGAACCACAGCAGACGCGTCTCCGTCGCGTTCCCACCTGCCCTCCAGGCGGCCAAGGTCTGCTACACCCATCTCCCTAAGTTGGTAACGGCTCTCGCATTTCTGTCCTGGTCGCCGGAAGGAATGGGAACGAACCAGCCTTTAAGGCTTCGCATCTAGAGACCCCGAAGCTGATCAAACAGTGAATAGGAATCGAAAGCAAAACATGCGGCTGCATTCTACCGATCGGGTTCGAGCCTGTGACTTGGTGGTGGTCATTTTTCATGAATAAGGCTAGGGCACCCTTGTACCTGTCCTCAAGGAAGGAGTTATGACGAAGTGCGAGACCTGCCGCGGCACAAGCCTCGTCGACGAAGAGCAAAGTAGGTTCGAGCTCGAAATTAGTGACTTTCAACTTGGGGTGAGATTGCTGCCGAGTGGACAGAGTAAGGATGACACTGGCTCTCGAATCGATGCTACTCGCCGGGTTCTCTAAAGCCTTAGGGAGTGCCCACTGACCCGAAGCGATATCTACATCGCCACAAAAATCCGCGTAGGCCGTGCATCCGTTCGACCGGCCCTCCGCTGCGGCTGTGCGCGTGGGAGAGGAGCGACGATTGGAGGTATTTGACTGCAACTGCTTGAGGATCATCTTTCGAGCGAAGTGAACCAACTTCGTCTTAAATGAAGCGGTCTCCATTCGCTGTGAGGAGATTCTAGGCCATTTGGGCATGTTCATCGTTCGCTTCATAAGCTCAGTATTGCTGCCCTCGATCAGAAACCGCTTTAAGGAATCAAAAGGGGATCAACTAAAAACATGGCTCCAAAAAATTTTGGCCGAGACAGGGAAATAGCTCTTAGACCTTCGGTATTTGGTGTCTCTTGCTGGCGAAGAAAAGGGGTCCAACTGCTCAGAGCTGCGTCCACTACTAACCGCATGTGCAGAAATACAATCCGTGAGATTATCGAGACCGGCTAAAT